AACATTCTGTTTGAACAACTGCCTCTTGGTCTATGTACAAGTTCCTCATGAGCAAAAATTAAGTGTTCCGGAATACTCATACTTCACAATGTTGTCCATAGGTTGTCATGATCCACACAATCAAAAGCCTTTGTGCAGTCAATAAAGCACAGGTAAACATATTCCTGGTATTCTTTGCTTTCAGCCAAGATCTACCTGATGTCAGCAATGATATCCCTCACTCCACATCCTCTTCTGAAACCGGCTTGAACCTCTGAAACTTTTCTGTTCATGCATGTTTGCAGCCGTTTTTGTATTACCTTTAGTAAACCATTACTCTCATGTGATACCAATGATATTGTCCAGTGATTTCCACATTCTGTTGGGTCACCTCTCTTTGGAATGGGCACAAATACGCATCTCTTCCAGTCAGTTGGCCAGGTAGTTGTCTTCCAAATTCCTTGGCATAGATGAGTGAGCGCCTCCAGTGCCGCATCAGTTTGTTGAAAGATTTCAATTTGTATTCCATCAATTCCGGATGCCTCGTTCTTTGCCAATGCCTTCAGTGCACCTTGGCCTTCCTCCTTCAGGATCACTGGCTCTTGATGATATGCTTCCTCTTGAAATGGCTGAACATCGACCATTACTTTTTGGTACAGTGACTCTGTGTCTTTCTTCCATCTTCTTTTGATGCTTTCTGCAACATTCAATAATTTGCCCAGGGAATCTTTCAATACTTCAAGTTGAGGCTTAAGTTTTTATTTTCAGTTCTCTCAGCTTGAGAAATACTGAGCGTGTTCTTCCCTTTTAATTTTCTAACTCTAAGTCTTTGCAAATTTCTTTATAATATTTGACTTTGTCTTCTTGAGCTGATCTTTGGAATCTTCTCTTCAGCTCTTGTACCTCCTCATTTCTTCCATTTGCCTTAGCATCTCTATATTGGAAAGGAGCTCTAGTAGCATAGTGGTTACGAATCAGGCTGCGAACCTTAAGGTCAGCGGTTCGAAACTACCAGCCGCTCCGTGGGAGAAAGATGAGGCTTTCTACTTCCGTAGAAAGTAAAAAAGGATTTATACCCTCAGAAACCCTGTACAGGGTCGCTATGGGTTGGAACCGACTCGATGGCACTTAACAACAACAACAACTCTATATTGGAAAGCAAATTTCAGAGTCTCTTCGGACATCCATTTTGGTCTTTCCTTCTCTTTTGTCTTCTCAATGACCTTTTGCTTTCTTCCTGTATGATGTTCTTGATGTCATCCCACAACTCATCTGGTCTTCAGTCTTTAGTACCTAATGCATCACATTTGTTCTTCAGATAATCTCTAAATTCCAGTGGGATATATTCAAGGTCTCTTGAATTTTTGCCTCTTGTGGACTTGTTTTCATTTTCTTCAGCTTCAGCCTGAATTTGCATGTGAGAAATTGATGGTCTGTTCCATAGTCTGCCCCTGGCCTTGTTTTGGCTGATGATTTGGAGCTTTTCCACTGTCTCTTTCTACAGATGCTGTCAATTTGATTGCTGTGTATTCCATCTGGTGAGGTCCATGTGTATAGTCGTGTTTTATGTTGTTTAAAAAAGGTATTTGCAATGAACAGGTCATTGGTCTTGCAAAATTCTATCATGCGATCTCTAGCAATGTTTCTTTCGCCAAGGCCATATTTTCCAACCATGGATCCTTCCTCTGTTTCCAACCTTTGCATTCCAATCGCCAGTAATTACCAATACATCTTGGTTACATGTTGGATCAATTGCAGACTGAAGAAGTCGGTAGAATTCTTCAATTTCATCATCACTGGCTTTAGTGGTTGGTAAATTGGAATAATGCTGATATTAACTGTTCTTCCTTGTAGGCATATGGATACTATCCTATCATAGATAGCATTGTATTTTATGACAGATCTTGATATGTTCTTTTTGATGATGAAAGCAACACCATTCCTTTTCAGTTTGTCATTCTCAGCATAGTAAACCAGGTGGTTGTCAGATTCAAAATGGCCCCTTCCAGTCCATTCCCGCTCCCTAATGCCTAAGCTATCAATCTCTTGAAGTTTCATTTCATTTTTGACAATTTCCAATTTTCCTAGATTCATACTTCATTTGTGTTCTGATTATTAATGGATGTTTACAGCTGTTTGTCTTCATTTTGAGTTGTGCCCATCAGCAAATGAAGGTCCCGAGAGCTTTACTCCATTCACGTCATTACGGTCAACTCTACTTTGAGGAGGCAGCTTTTCCCCAGTCGCATTTTGAGTGTCTTCCAACCTGAGGGGTTCATCTTCCGGCACTGCATCTGACAGTGTTCCACTGCTATTCATAAAGTTTTCAGTGACTAAATATTCGGAAGTAGTCTGTCTCTCCTTCTTCCTAGTCTGTCTTCATCTGGAAGCTCATCTGAAACCTGCCCGCCATGGGTAACCCTGCTGATATTTAAAATACCCGTGGCATAGCTTCCAGAATCGCAGCAACACAGAAGTCATCACAGTACGACCAACTGACAGATGAGTGGTGGATGTGGTACATAGGAAGTTCTTAATAAATGGGGACAACCAAATGGTGACAGATATTAATTCACTGAGGTGGTGGGGATGAACACAAACATTTGAAAGCAAGAGATTACAAGTGACAGTTGCAATCTTCTACCAGCCCCGACATCCAATTCATGCCTGTGTTTCTGGCTTCAGTGGTACCAAACCAGTTGCCATGGAGCCAATTCTGACTCCTGGTGGTCGGTCCCATGTGTTCCAGGTAGAACTGCTCTGCTTCACAGGGCTCTCAATGACTGGCTTTTCTGAAGGATCACCAAGTCTTTCTTCCATGGCACACTGGGTAAGCTTGAAGTTCCAACCTCGTGGTTAGCCGTTGAGCACGTTAACTTTCTGCCTCACCCACAGAGTCCTACAGCATTGTTGCTAAGTGCTGTAGAGTCAGTTCCGACTTGTAGCAACCCTGCATAGGGTTTCCAAGGAGCAGCTTGTGGATTTGAACTGCCAAACTTTCTGTTAGCAGGCCAGTACTTTCCCTACAGCACACACCAGGATTCCAGTTCCACAGTACATGGAAAATCCTTATTTACATAGAAGTGGTTGCCTCATCTAAGGAGCCATGGTGGTGCTGTGGGGTAAGCAGCAAACTGCTAACTGAAAGGTTGGTGGATCAAACTCACCAGCGCTCCATGGGAGTTAGATGAAGTTGTCTGCTTCCAAAAAGACTTACAGTCTTGGGAAACACTACATAGGTTCACTTGGAGTGGGAACGGACTTGAAGGCAGTGGGCCTGGGTTTTTTGGTTTCAATTGTCTTATTAGAAGGGACCAGTCCTCGGAGAAGGACATCAAATGACCATCAGCAAAAAAGAGGAAGACCCTCAATACGATGAAGTGCCACAAGTGGCTGCGACAGTGCATTCAAACAGACCCGGCAGTGCTTCGTTCTTTTGAGTTGGAACTGACTCAATGGCACCAACAATTACAACTGTTTTCCTACAGTCTCAGGATACGCAAGTAAACTATTTGCAGTATCCCTGAAGCACCTTTGAGAGACAGTCTGGCACTCTGGTCTAGACCACCCCTTGGCTCCTACAGCTGAGGAAACAGGGCTCAGCAGGTCAAAGTGACATGCTGACACAGAGTTCCATTCCCAGGGCATGTTCAGCTGGATGTGTACTCAGGTGTGGACAAAGTGGGTCCAGATACAGCTTCCCCAGCCCGGCCTGACACCCTCCCCACTTCAACAGCAGGTTCTTGGGAAGCTGAAGGCCTCTCAGGCAGGAGACGGGGCCCAACATGCAGTTCTATTACCCTGGACGAGCGCCGCTTCTTGCCCCGGGGGTTTGCTGTTTGGATGGAGTTGGTGATGGCGGGTACACCGTTTAGGTTCTGTGGAGACAAAGTCCAGAAAGAGGCTGTGGTAGGCCTGGGGCCCGGAGATGTGCCACTAAGAGCCCCAGGAGCACCCTTTGCCTCAGTGCTGTGGGGATCAGAGGCCAGACCTGGGGGACTGGGCACTGGGGAGCCCCACCTGCCTACTACCACTTCCACAAGCTTCCTAGCAGTTAGTGTCAGGCATCCCATTTGAAAGCAGTTTAAAAACCTGGAAAATCTCCTTCTGGGCCAGCCTAACTGTTTGGGACGTCAGTAACTTAGGATGAACTCTTTACCAAAGAAACTGAAAGGGAAAAAATCACCACAATGAACAGGGGCCATAGTCTGAGGAATATTGGCTGTTTTGCCTCTTTTAAAGAAAACCAGCTTCAGGGTAGAGGGAGAGAAAGCAGCAATGTGCTGGTGAATTTTGCAGGTGATTTTGTCCAGTGGACTCTCCACTGAGAGAATCTCAGGGATGGATCTCCAGCTCTTGTCCATCTGGAGATCTGAGTGGTGAGGTCCCAGGAAAGAACTTTCGTCTGGCCCTCAGACGGGCTGGGGACACCCTGGTCACTGAAGAACTTGGTGCCCCTCATAGTGTAGGCTCTGAACTAGGGGTTTCTCTGTTCTGAGGTCCGTGGGGGTGCCTGAGCTTGAGACCCCGCTGCCAGGATCTCCATCCTTGAGTGACCTAGAGGGACTTTCAAGTGATCCCACCCGAAGCCCAGACAAAACCTGAGCCCTACCTTGTTCTGCATCAGAGACGTGAAGTCGGCCGTGGAAGTGCTGAAGGAGAAGAGAAGGAGACGATGGGAGGGTGGCTTCATGAGAGTCAGCTTTCACAAATCCCCCCACATGTGAACCCAACTCTGCAGCACTTTTCTGGGGACGTGGGAAAGATGGGGGGCCAAGGTAGGACTCTCTAGCGTGACACTAGCAGTTTATAGGACAGGATGTTGGGCACCAAATGTGGGCCTTCATCCTCACAACTCATGAGGCCTACTGAGGCCTCCATTTACAGGAAGGGAGGAGGCAGATTCAGGGGCTCAGGAGGGGTAGCGGGTGAAACAAGGGCCTGGGTCCAACTGCCTTCTCAAAGAAACAAGAGTGGGAAGTGCTTCTCTCAGGAGACAAGAGGATGGGGGTCCCAACAACTGTACAAGGTGAAAGGCAAGTGAGAAAGAGAAACAGGAAAGAGTTTTTGATGCATCTCATGGAGTGACAGGTAACTTCTCCTCACACCTGTTGGTCCCCAACATTTGCCTTGAGTCGGGGTGGGGAAGAAGAGAATTCAACTACCATCATTACTGACTAACAATAAATGTCCAACGAATATCTCCTGTTTGTCTTAGTCCAGAGGAGTGTGGGGGTGAAGAGCTCACACTTTCTGAAGGCAAATGGGAGGGGTTAGGCTTGAAGTCCTATAGTCTTCAGCTTTCTCCTCCCTCCTTCTGTCCCCCCAGGGTTTATCAGGGAAGCATGAGAAGTTAGTGGTGCTCAGAGGTAAGGGATCTTCAGGAAGTTTTTAGCCTGGAAGGAGAAGACAGCTGTGATGTTTCCCCTCTCTTCACCCCAAGCCCCTCAGATAGCATGGGAAGACAGCCACCCTCAAACAACATCCTCATAACAATAACATCCAGCACCTATCAGCGTGAAGGGTAGTAAGTGTGCTCCAGGGGGAACTCAAGCTACTTGCTTTGGAGTTTGTGGAAGCAGAGACTGAGAAGCCAATGTAGGAGTGAGGGCTCATGGAAATCAGAGCAGCCATCTCTCTGAGGGCCCTGCCTCAGAGACAGAGCTTCCCCCAGCACAAAGAGTTGTGAGGGATGAACCAACTGAGCATAGGGTCATTCCAGAGAGCATCAATCAGAGAAGTCCTTCAAAGAACCTTGGAGGTAGGAGCCCCAGAGGTGAAGGGACCCTGAAGTGTGTGACTCAGGGGCACCAAACCCCAGATGTAACTTTTTATCCCTTTGGTTTTTCTGTACCCTGAGTCTCTTCCCTAACCCTGGAGAAGTCCGAAGCCGAGAGTGAGAGGGGAAGGAGTAGCTGAGAGAGATGGAGGGAAGGGAAAGATGAGTCTCCTCTTTCCCACTCATTTCCCTCCTCTCTGATCCTGTAAGCCTGGGCTGGGGCAGGGGTGGGGGTGAGGAGGTGGAATGGATGAGAGACTAAATTTCTGAATAGGCTGTTGAATATCTGAAAGCCCGATTATTATAACACCTGAGAGGACCCAAACGTGCTTTGATTGAAGGCAGTGGTGATGAACAAGAAAGCTATTTCCTGTCAGCCCTACACTGAGATCAGTCACATTGCTTCCAATCAACGTGAGTCTCTATTTTAATAACAGGGCAAAACTGAGTTCTATTAAAAATCCACCTTTTAACTGTGTAGTATTCGGCACAGAATACCTTGAAAAGCCTATTTTGATATAGATTCTCGGTAAGACATGAGCAGATCATGGCTCTGTCTCACATGGATAGCTGGGTCTGTAGTTCTCCTTTCCTAGCTGCTGTTTTCCAGCATTTCATGATCCCCTCACTAGTTGGCCTCCAAGTTGTCACCCAATTGTTCTTTGTGGTAACTAACAAGACCATCTCTTGTAAGACTCTATCTAAGCTCTAGCTAGAAAATGTCTCATGATGTTTCAGAACTCTCCATTGAGTAGTTCTTGATCAATGGTTTGTGTAGGGAGTAAATGAAGGGGGTGATGGGTGGCTTGATGGAGAGCTTGGACCATCCATCTAAATGAGCCATTGAAGGGCTTGGGTACCATCTTTCCTGACGTCCCAATGGACCCCTAGAGACTGTGTCTGGGAGTGGGACAGTTATACTCACTCTTCATTGACAAAGATGAGTTCCAGAGAAGGTTGGCTGTTGTTTGCACCCAGACCTACAGCAGCAAAGGGAAGTGGGGTAGGTGACACTGAGTCAGAGAGGAGTTCTGGGGCTTGGGGCTGGGGGTGAATGGGAAACATGAGTGACAAATGGGAAAACACTCCCCTCCACTCCACTCCAAAGGTGGACGCGGACAGGCCCGAGGGTGTTGTTGTAACCCTCGGACAGTGATGGTTGCTGGGAAATGAGGGAGGTTGGAAGAGCTAGGATGGAGGGGGCATCCCAGGGGGCTGTGGGCTACAGGGCTGGTACGGGAAAGAGATGACAGGGAAGAAGAGAGGGAGGCACAAGTGAGGGCTTGTGGGCAGGAGGGCCTGGAGGAGGGTGGGAAGCAGAAAGCAACAGTACTGATGGGCTCAGTCTCCTCGGTGTTGGCGTTGGCCGCCACGAGCTGCTCGTCCTCGGTGCCCACCAGCTCCTGCAGCACGGCCTCCACGATGGGCATCACCATGGCGGTGGTGGAGGTGTTGGACAGCCACATGGACAGCAACGTAGTGCAGCACATGAAACACAGCAGCAGCCTGGGGACGAGGGCCAGGCAGGCCGGGACACTGAGCGAGCGGCCCTTCTATAGGCTAGTAGTGGGCCTGCCTCACTCGACCTTTGGGTTCACATGGCTCTGTTTCTAGCTCCTTCCTTTGACCATCACTTGGTTCTCTCAAGTGTCCCCCAAACCATGACCTGTCACCTGGTTTATCTTTGCCATATCCGAGGTGACATCAAATGGCTATAAAATGCTTTGTGATTCTTTGAGACTCTCCAGTAGCATCTATAAGTAAGCATGCTCCCATTTTTCCAGCTTTGTCTAGTAGATCCATTCCAAGGCCACAGAGCACACCATCCACCCAGTGAGTGTCTCTCACTTGCAGGGCAGATGGAGCCCCCCTGCCCCTCCCCCCAGCCCTGGTACCATTCCACCCATTTTAGTAGGAGATAGCCTAACATACATGTTCCACAGGGGACTCAAGAACCACCGTCCCATGATGTGCAGGAAGCACAGTGTATGGGGGGCGGGCACCACCCCCTGGTCCACTAACATCAGGAGAATGGAGGACCACCATCCTGTGACCCACTGGAAGTCAAAGACGGAGGGCCATCATTCCCTGCTAAAAGCCTGTTGGAAACCCAGGATGTGCCACTGGAAACCAGGAAGGGAGGGCCACCATTCTTGTGGCCCCTTGGAAGGTGGGAGGATGGAGGCCCACCATCCATGGCTCACTAGAAACTGGGGGATGGAATGCCACCCCGCCCCACTGGAAGCTGGGGATGGAGGCCCACCATTCTCACGTCCCTCTGGAAGTTGGGGGTGGAGACCACTATTCCCATGACCCAAGGGAGCCAGAGGGATGGCGCCTCCGATGCAACTTACATGCCCGGTTTGGCCCCGGCCATGATGACCATGCGCAGAGCAATGCGTTTGTGTAGGTTCCACTTCTCCACAGCAGCCGCGACGCAGATGACGCCCACCAGCAGCAGCGTCGTGTTCTTGAAGTACTCGGCCGCCACCTGCGGAGCCCAGTTCAGTGTCAGCCACGCCCCGGCCTGGGAGAGGGCATGGGCACCCCCTCAACCAGACACGTTGGGTGACAGGGATCAGGGAGATGACGTTTCTTGAGACTGAGCATCTGCCAGGACGAATCCTTCTGAATCATTTCAGAGTCAGTTATATACGTCACAGCCTTTGTACTTAGATACTTTAGTGCGCATTTCTAGAGTAGGGGATTTTCTCTTACATAACCAGAATGCCATTATCAACATTTCTTAATGATGAGGAATTTGAAACACAGGCCTGTTTGGCGACCACAGACCACGTCTTCTAGTGATGAGCTTCCGTGGAACATTCCCCTCTCCTCTCTGTCTGCACATTCTGATCCGATTTCAAAGTCTGGTGCCTTCCAGAAAGTCTTTCTGTGACTTAGGCCTTCTGAGTTCCAGCTCATTCCCTTGGGGGTACCCTTACTTTTGTACTCCACAAGGTACTCAGAAAAATGCTTGGATTGCTATATATTTATATTTTTATGTGTACCTCTCTTGTCTCTCAACCAAATTTTTGCCTGCTACCAGCTGTTCCGCAGAAGAAAGATGAGGTGTTCTGCTCCCGTAAAGATTTACAGCCTCGGAAACCCTGTACAAGGTTGCTATGGGTCGGAACTGACTCGACGGCACTTAACAACAACAACAGTAAAGGAGTCTTGGTGTGGTGCTGGACCATCAGGTCGGTTTCAACCTCAAGGTTGGTGGTTCAAATTCACCAGCCACTCTTGGAGACCCTATACAGGGTCACTATGAGTCGGAACTGATTCAATGGCACTTAACAACAACAACAACAATACAAGGCAAAGGCATGTCTCATGCATTTTCAATGACTCCTCAATTGCTTCACGTGTGTGTCAAAGCTGGATAATGAATAAGGAGACTGAAGACTGCATTTGAACAGTGGTGATGACGAAGAATATGAATAATACCATGGATTGCCATGAACGAACAAATTTATCTTGGAAGAAGTACCGCCAGAATGTTCCTTAGACATGAGGATTGTGAGATTTCATCTCATGTACTTTGGACATGTGATCAGGAGGGACCAGTCCTTGTGAAGGATATCGTGCTTGGTAAGGTAGAGGTTCACCGAAAAAGAGGAGGCCCCTCAACGAGATGGATCAACACAATGGTTAAAACAATGGGATGGACCAGGTCCAGGCAATATTTCCTTCCGTTATACAAAGGATCTTTATGAGTTGACACCTAACAATAACAACATAACTCTAAGCACTTAACAGGGTAAAACGCAAATATAGATGCTCAATAAACATTTGTCACACACATAAGAATTGTTCCCATCCAGAGAAACCAAGACAGAAAGTGAGAAGAAATTATGTAGAAAAGTTTAACGTTTAATTGGAAAGCCCTCTTAAAGAGAGAAAACAAGAACATTTTTTAATTGGAGGGGGAAAAAAAAAAAGTTGATCTGGAAAGGAAATGTGGCCAGGGCCATAATTACTTAAGGAAATAAAAATAAATAAATTGAGACATATTAATCGAGGAATTAATATAAATAAATGAGACATGGGGAAACCTGTGCATGAAGAATTCATTGTCTTTGCAAAGCAACAATGAAATACTTTCTTTTCTTTTCTTTTTCTTTCTTTCTTTCTTTTTCTCTTTGGATGGCAGAGCCACAAAGAGTTGTTTTATTATTTTTTATGCGCAGACCCCTAGTTAAATTTTTCTCTTGTTGAATCATTCTCTGATTTATTCATGATTTTATTAGTTTCCTTTTTTACTTTAGATCTTAGACTCTCCTACACTTTAGTATATTCTCATTAAAAGTTAGAAGCCACACATTAGCTACATTTTATTCTACTTGTAATCATAGGTAGTTTTAATACTTATATTAACAATGTTCTTAAGACTGCTAGGAGACAGGATTTGTCAATTGAATTACTGCCAGCTTAGGTTTAGTGATTGTAAACATTCTTCCTTGTAGCCTTAGTTTAAGGCAATAAAGAATCCTAAACGTGAATAGCCATAAATAAGGGCTGTGGGTACAAGAATTTCTAAAAACAATTAGATAAAGGCTATGGGTATATACAGATACTAAATAAAAAGTCTGACTTAGACTTTCTTAAATTAATGATCAGTAAATTAGAGAAGTTGTTTTTCATAACCTCAGTTTCCCTGATAAGTGATGTTTTTGTAGGCTATAAACAGATAGAGTATGGAAGAAGTTAATGGAGAGTTAATTGCACCTAACAACTAAAATTAACATGATTTAACAGACAAAGGTTAAGAAATATGTGAAGGTTAACTTGCTTCTTAGAGGAAAGAATAGATTTATGTATGAACAAATGTTTAACTAAAAGGTTTCAAGGCGCCTGAATGTCTCCTATGCCTTGAGATAATGTCTTTGCTGTAACTTCTCATCCCTGTTGTAAATTTAAGAATTGTAAACCATGAGGAATGTGCCCCAAGATAGATTGTACCTTGATGTCATTGATTACTATGACAGCAATGTTTTTTGTAATGGTATATAAGGGGGTTGTAAGATACAATAAAGGGGTGTAGAAGAAGGGAAGAAGGAAGAGAAGGGAAGAAGGGAAGATAGGAAGTAGAAGAATGGGTGGAAGAAGAAGCAGAGGCAAGAAGTAAAGGTAAGAGTAAGCAGAGGAAAATAGAACGAGACAAGAATGGAGGGAGGATAGAGGGAGTAATGTAGAGAAGGAGCAAGGGAGGGGAGAAAGGAAGCAGAAGAGATGAGCAGGAGGGGAGCAGGAGAGGAGAGAAGGAAAGCAGGAGCAGGGGAGTGGAGAAAGGAAGCAGAAGAGATGAGCAGGAGAGCAGGGGAGTAAAGAATGAGCAGGACAGTAAAGAATGAGAGAAGTAGAGTATTAGAGTAGCCATAGAAATAATAATAATAAAGCATGTAATAAGAAGATTTTGAATTTATCATGACCCATGACTCCGTGTAATCCTTATCGCCGACGCTGCACCCGCCTTCGGAAAAACCCTGAAATAAATATGCCAGGACAGGCTCTCGGCAGAAATGTAAATATAAGCAAAGATATTTGTGTAATCATGCTGATGTTAAACTTTGATGACTGAATTCACAACAAGGATAATATACTATGTTGGGATACAGCCCTTTCACCCTGTACTGGAAGGAGGCAAATTCTCATCTGCTTCCGTAGGAAGTCAGTGCATCACGTCTGAGGTTATGACCAAGATCGAATAGAAGAAAATCACATGAAGCTCAGTGCCAGAAGCAGCAGCTGACCAAGTGAAGTTACTGACTCTGGGGAATGGGGCTGTGGAGGCAGTGGTGTGGGGAGGGTGGAGAGGAGACTGTTACTTTTCATTGTAAGCTTTTCAGTATTATTTGATTTTGAGACTCTTTGGTAACATAAAAGCCAAAAGCAAGGTTCCATTTCCCTCTTCAACTTTTGTCCCATGGTGTTTTTTTTGTGTCAGTGGACTAGGTCTGTGGAAGATGGCTCCTACCTCCTCTGGGACACATTCCAGAAAGTGAAAGCCCTGTGCTTCCGGTTAATTTACTACTAGTCCCCAAACCCATCCTTCAGCTGGCAACATCCCTAATCCCCTGAGGACAGAGAAGACCCCTGCCTTGGACCGATCCTCTCTAAGACCTTCTTGGGGACATTGGGAAGGCTTCAGAGCCAGCCCCCGGGTTAGGATGCTGCCCCCTGGTGGGTGGGGGAGGCACTGCAGCTGAGGAGGCTGTAGCCCAGCTGAGAGACTAGGCCCTTCCTCCCTGCGCTTCCCCCGTTCAGGCTCTAGGAGGCAGCTCTTGGCAGAACCAGTAAGTTTGGTTTTTGGTGGTGCTGTAAGGTCAGCAGTTCAAACCCACCAGTGATGCAACAGAAGAGAAAAACTTCTTGGAAAGGCTTACAGTCTCAGCAGCTCTATAAAGGGGTTTCCATGAGTTGGAATCGACTTGATGGCAGTGGAAGTTTTGTTTGATTTTTACAGAGGCTGAGGGGGATTGAATATTACAGCTCTGGTAGCGTAGTGGTTACGAATCCCGCTGCGAACCTTAAGGTCAGCGGTTCCAAACTACCTGCCGCTCCGCAGGAGAAAGATGAGGCTTTCTACTCCCGTAAAGATTTACACCCTCGGAAACCCTGTACAGGGTCACTATGGGTCGGAACCGACTCGACGGCACTTAACAACAACAACAACAGAAAGGTTGGAGGTGTAACGCCACCTACAGGTGTCCCGGAAGGAAGACCTAACAACTCTTTTCCAAAACATCAGCTACTGGAAACCCGAGGGAACACAGTTCTACTCCCACACTCATGGAATCGGCATGAGTCAGAACGGACATCAACTGGTGAACGGAGGAGGGAGACCCCACAGAAGATACGAGACGAGGTGGCTCTGGGTGGTGTCCCCTGGCCATGATGACGCTTTCTGGAGGTGCTACTACGTTTCGTATTCCATCTTTTTGGCACCTGCCACTGTAGGTCTCAATGGATCTCAGTTGGTCTCGAGGATCTTTGGGGGGGTCAGTGGGGCTGCCTTCTTTGGGTACACAGCCCGTTTTCTCACATGCACACTGGATCTCCAGGACAGACAACCCCATGAGGCAGGTATGGCAGCGTCTTCCTTTACAGATGAGAAAAGGAGACTCTGAGAGGGGGAGGTCAACATTTCAAGGTCATGGAGCAAAGGGTATGGAGTCAGGATATCCATTCAGGTCCATCTGACCCCAACCTGTGCTTTTCATACCAGGCAACACGGCGCCCAGCCGGTCATCTGCTTTGAGTGTAGGGGAGTTTTCTTGGTTGCCCCCTCCCAACCAGCATGGACTACGGACGGGGCCTTCAACCAAACATGCCCACGCTTCTTGTTTTTGTACACAGCCACAGTCCTGAAGAGGGTCCAAGGGACTCAGGCTGGACGGGAGATGCAGCCCGTGCTCAGCCTCTGAGGGACACTGGCTTTGTGACCATTCCACGGGGCAGTGTGTTTGGTGGGCCCTCCCGGCCCCT